GGTAGCACTGTTTTAGATGCTGCTCTATTTAGTATTCCTATGTAATTTCGCACTTCTACTTCGTATTGTCTCCTTGTGCATTTTTAATTGTAATTTTAAATATATATCTGTTTTAAATTCGAAAAAAATAAATAAAGCTCATTATTTGGACGATAACATTTTAACTATATTCAATATTTTAAGTAACTGCGCGATTAACCAGCAGTACACTGGAGCGGCGCCTCACTTTGGGTTGTAGTGTTGCATTAGCCTTATTTTATATAGCAACCGCATTTTCTGAGAGAGGACGTTCTTTTAAATTGGGTGAGAGCACCGCTCCTGCATCAAGGCAGTAGCTGACTGTCACTGCACTCAGGGTGGCAAGAGCACTGATCGATGATGTGAAACAGCTCATCTTGTACGGGGTTCCAGCGACAAGGTAAAGCCGATTATCACGTGTCTTTTGCTCTCAAAGCAGTCACTGAGAAATCGTTCACGAGGATGGCGTGCTCCGTTAGGAGTTTGTCTTGTCCGCATTGTGTCGTTTCGGAACGAGTGTGTCGGGTGTTCTGTCGGGGCACAGGTGCAGGGTGCGCAGGTCGAGCGCAGGCAAACAACGTTTTCCACAACTGGTCTTTGGTTGGAGTGTCATTGTTCATATTTTTAAATACTTGTGTGCGAAAATTTCAATCTGGTGTTAGGTTTTGTTGCCCTTGTTTGGTAGTGTATATCGTTACGCACCACACACACCAGCCAGCCGAACTAGTTATGGTCACTTCTCCCAAGTAATACGGGATGTTGCCAGATAGGCTTGCTGAAATCAAAAGAGCGAGATGCACTATTGAGATTTAACTCCGAATGAGAAAGTTACAGAAGAGCAAGAAGGTCAAAAGAACAGCAAGGCGGATTTCTCCATTCTGTAGAAAGTGTAGTGAGTGCAGCCCCGCCTACCTGCTCCATCGTTTCCCAACAGGCAGCATAAGCACTGTTTCTCTAAAGAAAAGCTCTCCAATACTGCTTCATGTGTAGAATAATAAATGCTACAGCCTACAGGAATTGTACCGGTGCAACATTTTTTGCTACATGCTTCAGAAACACTGAATTGCCCAAATTACCTGTAAGGAAGCCTCGAGTCTGAAGCTCAATATCGAAAGACAAAAGCTGCTCGCGTATTTCTAGAGGGGAGGGAAAAACACAGCCGTTACGCATATTGTAGAGTTGAAAGCTACGGAGAAGGCTGAATCTACTGAGCTTCACAGAGCTGTGGGGTGAGGGCGCCACAGATAGGAACGCATATTTTTCTTCAAAAATTCCAAAAAAGAAAAACCACAGTACTTCTTTAGTAACAGCGCGTAGTTTGAGCGCAATGAGAATGATGGCGAGGGGAGCCGCAATCAGGTATGCAGAAAAATGTACCTCCAAGCTATCAGCGCACCGTTGGACACTATCAGACAGTACGTGCATGACATTCCACATGCAGTAGATGTGCTAGCTCTGGTGATCGTTTGCACATTGTATATATTTGAGAGACACTTGTTCGCAGAGCAGAACGCCAACAGCTAATCAGAAAGGAGTTGCGAATATCAGCTGTGTGAAGCTTTTGGCATTCTGCTCTGCGAACAAGTCCTTTCTGAGACGCTGAGAAAGGCAGTGCTCACCACCTCTCTGTTCGCTAAGCCTTTGCCATTTTATGGCCAGCCACGTCGGCGTGTTCATCAAATTTTCATGATATCTTCATCGTGGCCCACTGCGGGCTTGTCTTGATCTTCGCAGTTACTGATTCGCAGTTGAAACTGTGTGCTCGACGGAGACACCAAAAGCAATCATTCAGATCCTAGAAACAATACGTAGGGAAAAGCTCTGTGAACAACAACATCTTCATAGTCCACACTATCAACGATGTTCCGTAGGTGGCTGTGGGGGCTGGGGAGTGTCGAGCTTGACGAACGCGGGCACCGACGATGAAATTCCAGCTTAGCCTTATGTAGCCTCAGCATCCTGCTTCGAACTAGAACGACTATATGAAGTACATGGGGTTTTTTGAGTGAGAAAAACCCATGCATTGTTTCTTTGCGTGCTGAGAACAGTCCTATCATGGACCACCTATATGCATGCGGCACCAGGGTATCAGTGCAGGCAACGCTTCTGGACTGACGTGCTTCTTCGCCGCACCACAAGTGTATTTGTTCAGCTCCAACAGCTTGAGTGACACCACTGCTTTATTATCGATTCCGATTGCTGTTTCTCTGGCTCGAAACCCTCACCAGACCCTCTTTGACATCTGAAAACGCACCCAGCTTACTGGCAGTCCTGCCCACATGAAAAGTCTTACAAAATACTCTGCAGCGGTTGGTTTTCTGACAAGGTCGTTGTTGCGGCACACAGTGCACGCTTGAAAAGCTCACAGCACGGACGTTCGTACGCTGGCGCCTCGTGGTTGTTAGGTGGAAGCGCTATCCATTGACAGATTTTGTAACTGTAATGTGGAGCACGCATTGATATTACTGCATCTATATGCACGACAAAGCTTTACTCAGGCCGTCCAGAGATGGACTCTGACACAAGCAGCGTCAGCATACAAAGCAAAAACTTTTCCGTACTACCGTGTGACTTGTATTCCTGCTTACTAATTGAGCTGCCTACACAATGTGATGAAATTTGAGCATCTTTTCGTTCTTGTTTCCCACTTATGCCGACCCATTTTCCTAATTAATACTGACAGGGTATGTGAAGGAGGAGAGTTACGGCTCGAAGAACCGGGCTCTAGTTTTGCGTCCCTAGGCTTCACAAATTGCCTTTTTCCTTTTACACAGGCGTTTGCAGTGTTAGAGAGAGATTCTTTTAATGCTTTAATGTGACGGTTCCCCAAACGCTCAATTTATGGTAGGTTCTCACTTCACGCACCGAAGCTGGCCACAGTGTGACTGAAAAACAAAAATACCTACCAGCAACTTCATCTGGTCTTTGGGATATTCTGTTGATGGAACATAAGCTCTAGAGAGGAGTGAAGCAGTGAAGTGTTTCATAAAGTTAATCTTCATACAACACTTTCTATTGGACTAGAATAAGAGCTCAAGCGTTCACCTTAGTACACCAAGTAAGCAGTACGTCCGTACTTACCCCCAAATACTACATCAAAGGCGTCTGTGCAGCTTCTCTGCTTGCAATTATGGCATCAAAGTGCGTTGTGGAAGCTTGTGTGGCTTGCGCCTAAATATGAGCTTATTTATTTCAAACTTGTGTTTAAGTTGGCAGTAGTTCTTCTTAGGACGCTGGTCTTCGAGCGTGAGATTGAAGAACTACTCAGCTCTTACGATAGCATAGAACAATCAAGATGCAGTTGAGCTTCCAACTCTCGTGTTGCGACATTTCATTTTGACGCCAGATCATTTTCCTCTTCACATTTCCTCATTAACTTGTTGCATTGGGAGTCAAATTTTTAAAACAAATGGGTTTTTCCGAACTCTAGCGGGTTCTTGCCTCTCCTGGCATTTCTTCGTTTCCAGCTCGCAGCATTTCATCAGCTGCGTTTGTTGTAACTAGTTATGGACATGCAGCTTCAGCTAGTCGCTTTGCCCCTATCTCAAGAAGTTCTCAAGAGTTGCAATAGTACTAGTGAAGGAGTAGTTGAGTGCTAGCGTGAAGACATCTGCCACTGTGGCCAGCGTCAATTGTATACTTTGTCTAAGCAAATGGACCGCCCTGGCTTGCTGTACTGGTGAGCCCTATGAGCCGTGCCCTATGAGCCGAGATGGAGCCTGTTTTTCGTTTCCGTGATAGTGCGCCTCTCGTCATGGAAATTCACCAACTAAAACACAAAGTCGTTACCAGGCACGGGGTGTCATGAGATGATCGAGTCTTGTGGGTGCTCGCGTGCACCCAGCGAGTCCCGGATCCCTCTTTCTACTGCAGCAGCACTAAAAGATACCTTTTTCATTACCCCTGTACTGAGAAGCAACCCAACAATGCTCTGCCGACCACCGTGAGCACTATTTACGCGGCACTGCAAACTTTAGGGAGTCTGTAGAAGTGGAGTAGTTGTGCAGTAGAGCAGAGAGTTTCCTAGCTTGATAGGGCTTTAGTGCATTAGTGCCCCATTGTCAGTTACAAACAGACTGTTTTATACATCGTGACGGCACAACCATACTAGCTCAGTGTCAGCGTAGGTGTGGGTTCCTCATCGAGCGCCTGCTCTCATTGTAGGCAGTGTAACTTAATACAATAGGCAAAGAAACATTAAGCCTCATTCACGGGAGGTGTCCCAATAAGTAGATCTAGAAAGGTGCGCTCAAGCACTTTCTCCATCCAGCCCCAAAGCTGGCCCTGGTGTCTTACTCTCTCCTTGAAGACGGACCGAATGAACAAAAAGGAACATAGCTCAATACTGCTAAATCATTAGCTGTAGCATGCATATAGCGAGTGGTGTGCCTTCGTTGCACTAGTTCATTGGTCACTGCAATGTCCAGTATTGTAATGCTGCCTATCATTTGCCTCGCTGTCCCCTTGGAGTTGAATGCTTGAAAAGGCGTCTGGACCCTAGTTAGTAGCCACTCGCTTGTTTCGTTTCGACTACTGATCTTTTGACCCGAGATAACGGCTGTGGGCTGGGTGGGTCCTCAACGGCGCCGGCAACGTGATCGGCGGCTGCGAAGAACCAGCCATAAGCCAGCAGCTGCGCTTATCAGCCTCCCGGGCCCATGGAGTTATTTTACAGTATCCTCTGCATTATCTTTCCAAGATTCTGCGGATGAAGCTGTGCTTGCCTGCAGTGGGAGTGGGCAAGGCAGTCCACACGGGCGATCGAGGTCCAGGGACGTGACCGTGGTTTAGCAACTGTAACAAAAGGCAGCTCCTCACAAGCATCGTCTAGGCAACAGGCAGAAGAACACGTAGGCATCTTGGCCCTCCATGTTCCGCGAGGAGTTACCTAGCATCCCCACTGCCCAGGTTGCCTGTCCTCCTTTCCGCTCGAGCTATGGGGAAGAGGTCAGCCCTTCGCGCGCAAGATCTGCTTTCCGCAGAGGTCTGGGCTTACACTCCTCCCCAGGGGACGGCCGGCGTGTTCACGGGGAAACGGCAGCATGTTAAAGATAAGCAAGTGTGAGTGAGCCACGGAAGTGGGAGCCACCAGGGTTGGGCTCAACTGGTCGTGCAGCTGTAGATGGTGGTCATAGGTCGCCCTCAAGGCATAAAACTCATTTTTGGCTGCTAGCCGGAGCAAGCATTTAGGGTTTGTTGGAGCCATCAGCTTAGTTCACCTACCTGCTGATTAGGCACTTAGGGCGCAAGAGTTGCGCCGAGGGTTTCGGGACTTCAGCATTATTGCTCGTAGGCATAATGGACCCCACAGGCTGCATATTTTGCTTGTTGATTCACCAGGCAAAGGAAGATTCGCCGGCTGGAGCTGTTTTCCAGGTTTGATGAGGGCATTCAGCTCGACGAGGAGATGTGGTGGTCCGTCACCCCGGAACAACTAGCTGTACATACAGCTGAGCGCTGCCGCTGCGATTTACTCCTGGACGGATTCGCAGGGGTTAGTCTGCATGCATCAATTAAAGTGTGATATGTTCCCCTGCACATGAGCGTGCTGCTGATTACTGCAGTCACTGCTTCTACTGCTGTGTTTGGAGTCGCTCACAGGGAGCTGCAGCTGTGTATGGCGTCTGTGCGGACTAGGCGGGGGGCAATTCGATTGCTTTTGCGAGGTCTTGTGGCTTTGTTCTGGCGTGCGAAATAGATCCAAGTCGCGCGGAACTAGCTAAGGCAAATGCCGGTGTTTACGGTGAGTTTCAGTGCTACAAATCTGAAAGGACGTGCTCGCTGTCGGATGTTCTCGCTTGGCTCGCTTAGAAAGTTCAGTGTGCTGGGGGGGGGGGCAATTTAGCGTTGTACTGAACTGAACTGTCCACCTTTTGACCAACCCTCGTGTTCTTGGTAGTTGGCTGACAGAGGTGCAGTAGGAGTTTGTTATGGCTCCTAGCACACCTTTCGCCAACATAAACTAGCTGTGAGCGTGCCTATAGGTGCTATTCACAGTGGGTGACTCTTCAAGAGTTTGGATTTGCGGCTTTGATTGGGGCCTAGGCCTTCACGATTTGTTTAACTGCTGCAGGGCCTGTAGTGGCTTCGCGCCTGGACTTCATCATTGGCGACTTCGCGACGCTTACGTCGCGCCAGCTGCGCAGAGGCGCACTTGATGTTGTAAGTGTTGGAGATCTTTTAACTAGTTGTCACGGGTGTTGCGTTGAGTAGACACAGAAGAGACAAAAATCGGGATTATCGTGTGATGATTGTGCGAGCCTCTCAGGTTTTCATGTCGCCTCCATGGGGGGGCCCTGGCTACAACGCGAGGGATGTGTTCGATTTAAGCAAGATGGGAGGCAGAATTGTGGGCTTTATTCTTTGTTTCTAGACACACACTGCTGAGTAATACCGAAAGGCGCCGTGGTAGAGCTGCAGAAACCACCATAATAAGAAAGTCCTTGCACATTTTACCCTGTGTTGTTGCTGCGAAGGACTTCAACCATGCGCTCCGTCTCGCCCAGAGGGTAGCACCTCGCGTTGCTGCCTTCTTGTGAGTCAGCTGCTCCGAGATTTTTGCTCAGGCACATATTTAGCATTGGTATGTGCAGGGTTAGTCGCATATTCCTGTGGTGCTTAGGATTTTATGGAGTTTCGCACGCGAAACGCGGTGCCCGTCTGAAATATATTTCATTTTTTATCGTTGCAGGCCCCGTTCAGTCTCCCTCTTACAGCTGCTTCGTGCCGCCGCGCTTTTCACCCTTAGGAGCCCCACTCTAGGGTACAGTGCGGGCTGCCCCCGTGGCGGCTTCAACGGCAGAGCTCGCTTCCCTCCTGCAGCAAGCGCTGCTGCAGAAGATTTGCCAAAGGCTTGCCACGGAGAAGCGGCCTCAGCTTCTTTGCATGAGGCGCATCGTGTGCAGGTTGAACTGGCGCTGTGCCGCTCAAGGCGAGAAGCTGGAAGTTGTGCTTTTGATGCGCTTCGCACCTGTAATGATCTCGAACGCCTGTCTGCTGGCCTTTGTAAGGTCGTTAGTAGAGCGTTGCCTACTGAGAAATGGTGTTTCGCCAGCGCTGCACGAGAACAGGAGGGTGAGCCCTACCCGAAACGCAGAACGATCGCTGTCTCGAAATCTGAGGGACAACTTCATGACAAAGTCTTGCGCCCTACAGCCCATGAACGTCGCTGGGAAGCTTCAGAGGCAGCTGAAGAGGAACAGCGACTGTTTGGAATCGAATCGGAGCTCGACGCGTGTGGCAGCCTGCAAAAGTTAGTAGCAGAGTGCAGGAGGGTGTATACACAAATCGACGATTCTCCAAGGGATTGGCGCTGGCTTCCCGTAGACCTACTGTGGGCGGCTACTCCATTAACGAAAGGCTTTATCAGAGATCCGTTTCATCGTTTGAACCGACGCTTGCATGCAGCACGGGAACAACAAGAATGCCTGGATTCCCATAAGGAGGCCGAAGAACCCTCATTGGAAACGCCCCCTCTGCTCGCCGAGCTACAAACCTCTCCAGCTCCCTGTGTCTGCCATCAAATTGCCTGCTGGCGCTGGCGGGCTGTCGGGGTGACTGCTTTCTTCGGAAATTTTGAAAAGAAGGAGTATGACGCGAACGAAGGAGGCGCGGTTGCTATCAATGATCCTCACTGTTCAGGCTTTCCGAGTTGTAGCCACAGGCCCGTCTCTTTTCATGAGCAGCATGGCCTTCTGCAGGATGAAGGGCAGAGAAGCCTTTCTGAAAAGAAACGGCTTCGCAAGGAAGTAAAGTTCGTATTCAAGGCCCTTCTGCAGGACGCTCTTGAGTTAGCTGGTATGGAAAGCCCGGACTCTCTACTCAAGACGAATATGCAGCACCCAGCGTCTACACCAGGAGTGCAGCGTGAGAAGGCCAGTATTCAGTCAGGAAGCACAAGGAGTGGACCGACTTCGGATCAGGAAGACATGGGACGGGATTCAAACAAAAACGAAGACACAACCCTGCCGGATGAAGCTGCAGCACAAGCTTCAGCTCAGCTCTTGGCGAGCAGTATCGCATGCTTCGCGCGGCAGACGTTTGCGTCCCTTTCTTATTCGTCTGAGAGGTTGTGCAATTGCTTTTACTCGAACGCAGACGCAGACCAGCACGGAATTCAAGGGAAAAGGCAGTTTCTGGACGGTGTTTCATCCACTTCAGAAGCAGACAGTAAAAACTGCTCACAGGCAAGTGCCGAAGTGGCCCGAGAAGAATTAAAGGCCTTTGCCGATCGCCTGGTGTCCGCCGCCACGAAGAGAATTGTTAAGGCCAGGAACGCTTTGTTTAGCAGGCGGTGGAGTTGCATGCGGAAAGAAGACTCAGGTTTGGTGGCTGAACCGTGCAACGGCTTAAGAGCAACTCGTAGATGGAAGTCGTTTCTCCGGAACGAATGTGAAAAAGTCGTACACTGCTACTTCGCTGCTGCCAGTGGCTGCTCAGCAACGCTCCGTGTAGCCCTCCCCCAGCCAGTCGCAAAAAAGGGTAGGAAGAAAAAAAAGCGGGACTCCGCACCTCCAGTGTCAGCCAAGCCTTTGCCTTCGCCTAATCGATTAGACTTTCTTCAGCGCGTCGCAAATGCGTATGTGGCGTCCTGTTTGCTTCCCGAAATACCACAAATAGTCGAAAAGCAAGAATTCTTCAAGCCAGTCCCTGCTCAGGAGCACGCCCTTGAGTTCTCCGGTGGTGTCTCAGGGAATTCGTGCTCCGGAAGCAAGGCAGTAAGAGACAGCGATGCGGAAGGCGGCTTGCCACAGTGGTCTCCAGAGGAGGTCCTCCACTGGCAGTTTGGCTGCAGTATGTGGTGTAATTCTTCGTTGCGAGTCCTTGTAGCGCAACGATTGGCACCATTGCTCGAGCTTAGTCCACCTATGGGCCCGCAGAAAAACAAGGACAAGTAATAGCCTCTTGTGTGGCTGAGGGGATTTTGCAAAGGCTGTGTGAACGAAAATTAGTATCTGCACAATAGGGCAGTTGGGAGAAAACAAGGTTGACGTAGTGAGCAGATGATCTGGTTGATACGCAGAGTAGACCACAAAATCAACAGAGCTTGAATTCGTCCGCTGTCGCAAAGAGAAAGGCAGGGAAGGTGGGCTTTTGCTGCCTCTAGTAAAACTATGGATCGCTTAGTTGGTAGCAAAGGGCAGTCCCGGCACGTACATTTGCAGCGAAGGAGTCATCTCGACGTTTTTCACCCTAGTCGCACCCTACAGGTGAAGCTTTATTGAGTTTGAGGGCAAAATGTCAGGGGTCGCGGCCGGATGCTTTCGTACGATCCTCAGCCATGGCCTCATCAGCAGCACGGGCACGGACAGGACCATCTAGACCTATATATTGTAGGGCTGTTCGTTGCCCAGCATGGTTCCGGCACTAATGAGGATTCATGAAGACGAGAAGATTCCCCCCACAGCAGAACCAAGCCGTCGTTTGCGGTTCCGGGGAAACTGCACAGCGCTGCATTGGTAGTGGTTCCATCTTCACACGTCATTTGGAGGGTAACACAGCGGTTGACCTGCGCTAGTTAGATCCCTAGGGAACTTGACTGAAATTATGACCAGACAAAACACACGGATAGGTCGGTAGGTTTATGAGGACGAGCTAGATGTCCTCAGCCCGACTAGACTAGGGTCTCTCAAAGGTCACAGACGAGCCTCCCCTACGCTGCTTGCCGGTATTCCACCCGCAGCCGATGGGCTGATCCCAGTGCGATGCGCTCTGAGCCTTGCAACTTTTCCACTGCGAAAGCAGATGCCTGGCCCTACGCCGAATCGGGAGAGGCAGAAGCCTGCCCTGGATTTTTGAACTGGGTGATTCACATCCAAAAAACGTTGTGTGGTATGTAAAGTGCAAATATGTGCTTGCAGCCCCCCGTTTAGGTGTAGGACATCTGCACGCGCCACGCAATGCCACAGGCGCAGAATGCTTCGAACATTCCGGGAAGCTTTAGTAGGGTTCCAGCGTCATTGAAGATCTTTAGGCGGTATGGCTGTTCACTAAAGAGGCGGTACACCCGCCGTAGTTACGTACGCATTCAACGGTAGGTTGCACCTATATGACTATCTATGCAGATTCTGATATGTCCATTATGAACAGTCAAGCTTTTGCGTGTGTAGGTTAGTGAGTATCCACCGACAGATCATGGACGTGGGTGACAGGAACGAAACCAAACAGTGCCAGTTATGATCATCTCTGAGCCTACGCCCATCATGTTAGATATAATAGGTAGTGGCACTCATCCAGCTGGTAAAAACAGCACTAGCAGTGGCGCTCAGCGATAGGCGCTAGCGGGTAGCAGACGGGTCGGCCATGGCTGAACTTGTGAAAAAGTAGAGGATGAGCAAGCCCTCATTTAACATTCAACTTTTTGCTATGCTTAGGTTGATGCAACCAAGTTGCCTCCAACCCTTTTTTGTATCTCAACGTTGCCAGCCCCGCTCATCCGTGGGGCTACAAGCCCTGTTCCAGCCAGTGGCTCCACAAAGTATCGTGCGTCACCCTGTGTATGTAAAGATAATAGAGTTATTGGGCTTTCTGAGCCTAAGTTTTTGAATAGTATGATTGAACCATATATGAAATCCGCACAATAAGGGCCGCGTGTTCTCTTTTTTTCTCAGGCTCACCTTTGTCGATTGACTTTGACTGGCTGTTTTTGTCTTTGCACCATTTGGGCCCTTTTGGCGCATATCAAGTGTACATCCGCTGCAGTTTTACGTTTTTGTTCAGTTTTAGCAGCAATCGCAGCAAATAAGGCTCTACAGATCCTTGGCCTGAGGTTGTGAATCAGGCCCCAGCTCAGCCTTTCTTCAGCGTGCCGCAAAAATGAAACGTGTCCAGCCTTCCATCTTGCAGCGCCAGCTCTTGGCTTCTCTGTTTTCGATATGCCCACGCGACGCTGTGGTGGCTACCAAGGGGTCCCGGCTGGGACCCCTGCGGGTGACTCGAGGTTCCTCTCTAAGCGTTGCTGCCACGAACAGCATCGTGAGCGCCGCAGCTACTGATCCCAATATGGCCTCTTCCCGCATGTGGCTACCGGCCTGTGGTGATTTAACATTGAAGGAGGGCTTTAGGCGCTTCACAGCAACTGCAAGCCCGGCAGAAGCGACAGCAGGCGGGGTTGAGGGGGAAGAACAAAGCTACCCTTTTCAGGCCGAGACGCAGAAGCTGCTTCAAATTGTTGCACACTCGCTCTACACTGACAAGGAGGTCTTCATCAGAGAGCTCATTTCCAATGCCTCAGATGCGCTGGAAAAATTCAGGTTCTTGCAGGCGACACAGCAGCAGCAACAGGAGGGAGACCAAAAGCAGCAGCAAGGGCAACTTCGAGTTATTTTGCGCGTCAATCCTTCAGAAAGGACTTTTGTCATTGAGGTCCGTCTTTAAAGAGAAACGGCAAAGAGGGGCCAGTCTAGAGCACTCCACTGCCTGTCAGTATGGCCTGTACAATTGTGAAAATGGCGACAGCGATGTACTTATCACGGCCTAAGAATAGCAGCGAAATGGACGGCGAGAGACCTTCAGCTAATACGTTCAGACAGAGAGGAATCGCAAACGTGGGAACTAACGGAAAGCTAGAGAGGAGGCTGAGGAGCTCACTGGCCACCAGGCAACTCTAAGGTGGCGTGCAAGGACGCTTTCCTGTCCTTCTCACACAGATCTCAAGCCTGTGACTTTGCTACCGCTGTTTTTATTGCGAATTGACGACTGTGATCGCAGGACAATGGTGTGGGAATGAACCGAGACGAGCTGGTGAAGAATTTGGGAACGATCGCGAGGAGCGGCTCTCTTGAATTCTTGAAGAACGCGGGGGCCGAGGCTAGTAAAGACATCATAGGCCAAGTGAGTACTTCGCAGCCCCGAGTCCTTCAAGCAGCAAGATAATTCAGAACAGGCAACAGATACCCTGTGCCATACCAAAAAAGTATCAGCTAAAATGCCGCGTATTTCTTTCTGGCGTACTTCCCTATTGCATGAGTATCTCTGTTGCCTGTCCTGAATAATCTTGCTGCTTGAAGGACTCGAGTGTATGCTTCTCGATTCAGGGCTTTTGGTTCAAGGTTAAGGTTGTGGGAAAGTGTAGAAGATCCCCTTCTTTACGTCTCTTTTTCAGTGGCCTCTGTGTTGAATGCATGCGGCTTGCAATCTTCCCTTACCAGCGGAGGCCTCAGAACTTGCTTTTTTATTCGGCCTGTTTTGTCTCAGTTCGGCGTGGGCTTCTACTCAAGCTTCGTCGTTTCTGATCGGGTGGAGGTCTTTACGAGATCGCGGGAGGGTGGGAAGGTGCTGCGATGGTGCAGTGACGGCTCTGGGACCTTCAGCCTGTCCTCAGCTCCAGCAGATTCCCTGAGCTCGGCTTCGGGGACGAAAATTGTTTGTCACTTAAAACAGGATTGCCTGGAGTTCGCGAATCCCCATAGAGTGAAAGAGTGTGCCAAAAAGTTTTCGTCCTTCGTTAAGTAAGCAGACAAATTTTCCTCTTCCCGTTTGTATTGTCTTTCGGGCCTCTGCAGTTTCTCCGTAGCCCTTGTATCTGCTCTCTGAAAGCATTGGGTGATATCTGCTTCTGCACGGACAAACGGAGCATATCATGGTCCACCGTTTGTCCCTGTGTGGCCTGCTGTATGGTCGCAACTATTTTAATGCTTTTTCCACCTTTCTAAATGAATCTGGGAGATTTCGTTTGAAGTCGATGCGGCTATTTGCACCTGTTCCTACTTCTGTCGTCCACAGCGTTTGCAAAGGAAAGAGGAAACGTGGCAGTGCTCGTCTCCTGTACTGTACTGGCCTGTGTGCCACCGCGCGTATAGGGTTCTCATCGAGGAGTTGTGCATGTGGAGTCATTTTGTGATATAGCTTCGAATTATAACATGCACATGGAGACAAAATATTGAGGAGCGGGTTGACAAGGAATCGCATTTCTTGTGACTTTCCGTGTCTCGCAGCTTCCCAGTTTACATGGAAGAAAACGGCAAGGAAGTTCAAATTTCTTCTCAGGAGGCCCTTTGGCTCAAGCCGTCCCCAACCCCTGAGGAGCACAAGCAATTTTTCAGGTGAGAGGACTCCCAGTGACTGCTCTTGCAGATACAGCGGAAAGTTAATGTCAACAATTAGCACCATACATATTGCATTCTGAAATCTACGTTGCCTGCGGCAGTCAGACAGTCTTTGTTGCACACATATTTTTCCCGTAAGCAGCTATACCCAAAGGCACACAGGAATACATAATCACATCACATACTAGGACACGATTCTAGATGCGCACCTCTGTATGTTCCAATTGGCGAAGAACGAGCGTGTTCATACGCTCTCCTGCGCGTCTACATTCACAATGTTGTCTATAGAGCCCCTCATATTTTGCTTAGGACCAGTTCCCTTTTAGCATACGTACTGACATTGATACACTGGTCGAAAGCTCTTGTTCAGCGAAAATGCTCCCATGTATTCGCTTTTGTGTACACATACTTTGTCTTGGGCATCTGCCCAAGATTTTGTCTTCACGAGTTTTTGCGCTTCCGTGGATTCTTCGTAGACACCTCACAAACCAGTCTTGGGGGGAGCCTTTCTACAGCATCATGTTTTCAGCTGACGCGCCACTATGCATTCGCGTGAGTACCCTGTAACATGCCGGATACAGTCAACTGATGCGCCTTCCGCTGTTCGCTGAATTCCATTTCCTCCCTTTGGCCTGTCTTCTGTCCCTCGTCGCATGTCTTTGCTGCCTTCCGCCTGCCGCCTTCTCCAGCTTTTCACAGAAGAGGGTCCTGAACACGCAGATCCAGCTAGCGGTCCCGTTGAACCTCAGTTGATGAACTTTATATAGTTTTGTCTGATGAGTTGATTTTACGATTACACTTGCCATTTTGCTTGCTATCAATCCTAATTTGAGCATGGAGACTTTATGTGCGTCTTTGCATGTATCATTTATGTGTGTATTTAGGTGTAGCTTGACTTAGTCCACCGACGATTTCATCTGCCCACATGAGTTATGAAGCTGAATATGCCATGGCTGAGCTGCCCTTTGCGTGTTCTCTGTTGCAGTCCGTATTGTACTTCCCAGCTGATCCCCCAAATCGTCTTTTCCAGACAGGTCCACTGGAGAGTGGTGTGTCTTTGTTGGCACGTCGCGTCTTGGTTAAAAAGAGCGCAACAGATCTTCTACCCAAGTGGCTTTGGTTCCTCCGTGGTATCGTTGATTGCGAAGACCTGCCTCTCAATGTTAGCAGAGAGCACATGCAAGACTCCGTCCTTCAACGAAAGCTTTCCACTGTTATTGTTAAGCGTATTCTGAAGTTCCTCAATGACCAAGTAAGCGAAGTATAATTCAGAATTTAACCCACGTCAAAATGCCTCGTGATTTCGTCTAGAGAGTCACACAAAAGGGGCTCTAAGGTAATTGCAAGCTGGCATCTGAAAGGGTTTCTTCGTGGGGATTCGTACATGTGACCCTTTGGAGTCGCCTGGATGGGGACATGTAGTACCCAGAATTGCGGAGAGTGGCTCGCATAAGCCACATTGTGTGTTCGCTGTATTTTCGGCGTGCTCAAGAGCGCTCCCTAATATTTTCACTCTGGTTCGTGTGAATCAGGTGAAATCGGATCCAGAAAAATACCGTCAATTTTACCAGAAGTACTCTCAAAGTATAAAAGAAGGGGTTCTGGAGGATGCACACCATGACAGCGTGTACAAGGATATGCTTTTGCCCCTTCTTCGGTATGTCTAGGGTTATCTTGGATGAGGTGGCTCATCCTGTTGTCTTGCTGGTTATTTCCGTGCCTCTCCCTGCGAACGCTTATCTCCCGTGAGCGCTCGTGTTGTGCCAGTGTACTGTTAGGTCCTTTTGTTCTGCTGTCTTGTGTGTGCATTGCTGTCTGTGCGTCCACACGCATTGCCTTCAGCTCGCCCTTATGTGCTTCTATTATGCACAATTTTAGAGCTGTTACTGTTTTGTTTCCGTGATTTCCTTGCCCCTGATCAGCTGGTGCTTTTGTAGCTTTTTCGCGCTGGTTTTACATATTTTCTTGTTTGCAAGCCGCATTTCCTGAGCGTCGCAGTACAAGGACTTGATGGCTGCCCCGCAGGTTTGAGTGTTCTTCTGAGGATGCTGGGAAAATGATTACCTTTGACGAGTATCTTGAAAAAATGCCCGCCAAGCAGAAGAATATCTACTATTATTGCTGCTCAGACAGGACGGTATGGAATTCGAAAATGCTGGATTGTCTCTCTGAGTGTCTCCGCTGAGATCTCCAGGCAGCATTTGTTTGCATATACCAAGGAACAGGACCTACATAGTAAGCGTTGAGGACTTGGCACCAGGGGAATGTGTCATTTTTGCGCTGCCAGACTGCTCTCTCTTCTCCCTACATGGAGCAGTACGTCGCGAAAGGCCGGCCAGTTCTTTTGATGACGGCAGACATTGACGAGTTTCTCGTCATGAATCTTTCAGTAGGTCCTCTCTGCATTCGCCTACTTTTAGAGCGCCTTGGTGTCAGTACGTTGCCCTTCAACCAACTGCTGCACCTGCCCTTTCTAGTCGTAGTGAAGCTTTTTCTCAAGTCGGGTTTGTTTTGAGGATGGTGTTAATTGAACAATTTTGTGTCTGCAACGTAAGCGTAAGTGTACTTACGGCTTTGGGGCTGCTCAGGAGTACAAGGAAAAGCGGCTGGTTGCAGTTGACTCCCCTGGGGAAGACGCAGAGGCGGAAACAGCCGACGAAGAGGATGAGAAAACAGCAAAGGAAAAAGAGGCGAAGCCCAAGCTAGTGGGAGAGCAGCAGACTGAACTTGCAGCATTTGTCAAGGTACATTATTTCGCAGGCCGAAAGAAAAATTAAGCAGCCGAAGACAAAACATGCAGACCCTAAGCTATGTTTGAAGTTGCAGCTGCCTGTGGATTAAGAATGATACAACATCTTTTGCTCCGTTTTATTGCCTTCCAGGAAACATTGACCGCCAGAGTAACTGCCGTCAAATTCTCCGACCGGCTTTTGTCTTCTCCGGCAGTTGTGTCGGGCTTCCTTTCCTCAACTTTGAGGCGGATGATGAAGGCCACCTTGCAGGGAGCTCCAGAATCACAGCTCAGTGAGTGGAAGGCAGGCCTGAGGCAGCTATTAGTCAGCTTCGTTTTCAGGGAAACAAGAAATATTAGGGGTGGCAGTTCAATAGATTTTTGATGTTAAGCTTTTTTTTCAAAGTACTCGGAGGTCGCTTTGTGTCTGTTGTTTGTTTTTGTTCCCCAGATCTTGCGAGCCTCCCTGCAACTCTTGAGCTGAACCCTTCACACGAATTAATAACCTCTCTCTACCACCTTCGTACTTCTAACCCAGATGTGGCCAAGGTGGGGGTGCGAGGGGACTGCCTCCTGAGCACTGAGTTGCTGTTCCATACTCCAGACAAGGATAACCTGGCACACTTCTTCCTGGGTAGTGTGGTGGATACTGCTGACATATCAATCCTATTTTGCACTTGCTGTCTAAAGTAGTGATGCAGCAACTGCATACATTGAATGCTCCATTCTGTGGCATCGGTTACTGTGTGTTCATTCAGTTGCTGGTAGAGCAGCTATACGACAACGCGTGCGTCGCTGCGGGGATCATGGAAGAGCCGAAGACTATGGTGGGACGGCTAAACAAACTGCTGTCTCTCACGGCGCAATACGCCTACCACCATGCAGGTGGAGCGTCGCAGCCTGCTTCGCCGTCTGGGGAAGCAGCAGCAAAAGCCGAGAAGGCAGAAACTTCAGAGACTGCACAGGCCTGAATCCGCGCAGATATATCTCTGCAGTAGGCACATGCTCCAAAGTCCGGGTTTGGGCCCTACGGTTTACAGTGTATTCCTTGGGGTCACGACAGTTGGCCACAGTCGCAGCAATACTAATGTGCTGCACTGTATTCAGCTGCGTAGAGTGTGTGGATGGATGAGCTTCGGTGAGCTTAGACCTGTTCATGTCACAGTCAATTGTGTTGTGTGGATATATCAGTTTGAAGTGCAGATACGTAGCGGAAAGCAAGGCGAATAGTATGAAGTAAGGTGCGGCGTCTACGAGACACTTTCCGGAGTGTATAGGTGAGAGTGCTTCTGAAAGTACACTGACGACACGTGTTTGAAATCGTACAAAGCGTGCAGCTATTAAGGAAATCTAGCAAAGCAGCGCGCTGGACGTGGGACGACTGCTTAGGGAGGCCCCAGCTGCTGTTGCTGCAGACCGTGGGCTTCAAAATGCAAATTGAGAAACCATGAATAGTTGGGTTTACTCTGTTGGTCATCGCCAATGAAAGAAACAACATTAGGGACATTGGATATTATCTATTTGTTTCTAAGTACGGAACTTGGAATGGGCAACAGCATATATCAGTCAGATTGGGGGCCACATATCTCGCACGTCCTGTAGCGTTTCATAGTTGTAGGAACGCAACAGTGCGATATATTCTCCAAGTAGATATTTTGGTTCTGCCTTCCACAATTTCACCAGCTCAGCCCTGCAGCACTCCAAACAAGCAGAGGCCCGTACGCATTGAAACAAAGACAAGGCATTTGGCCTTCGGGTCTCAAACCTGCACTCTACACTGCGGCCGCCGTAAACTGTTTGGTGTCAGGCGACCAGCCTGCCCAACGTGCGTGAGGACTGAGCCAAGCCTCGCAACAGGAAGTGTTCACCAGCGACCGTGCGTAATTTGCCAGCTTAATGGCTTAACCAGCTAGCTAAAGCCTTAGTGCGCAAGCCGCAGGTGGAGGTGCGGGCTACTGCAGAAGTTTATTTGCCCCATTAACACCGAACGGGACTTGGACAGCAAAGAACGCGGGCGGGCGGGCAGAACGACCGAAATGCACATGCAGTGCTACAGGAACCTGCTGCATGAAGACCTTTTATTCACTTATGAAGCCTGGGCGATGAGGGCAAACGTGGGGCTAGATGCATGACCATTCATAATGGCACACTCACCTTGAGGCAATATCTTTCTTTGCCAGCTCCGTTACAAACGCTCGCACGGCGAAAGTGCCCGAACGACTACCCGCAAGCATTCCCTCTGGGGTAACACACAAGGCTGAGGCGAACCTCTTGAGCCGTGGCATGACCCTGCCCGCAATAAGCGCTGAAGCGAAGCACTCGTAGAGTTGCTGTTGCTGCTCCTGGGGAGAAATGGCAACATTTTGACCACTCTTCGTGCGAAGCAGAGGCCGTTCCACTGCCTGTAACGGCAGCTGTAGGGGGCTGTAGACCGGCCTAGACCATCCCATAACTGCGTCACGCCGTGAATCATATCTGAGAAATCCAATGCACGCCTCAAAAAATGTCAACAAACTAATTAGAATTGAATATGCTGACGGTTTCCTCTGTTTCAACAGGAGCCGTCGTTCACTCCAGGTCGCCCAAATATCTCCATAACTGTTACAATCTTACAGAAAACAAAGCACTGGCTCAGATTTTTGAGTCTACTCTTGTGACACAATCTACGCACTCTAGGACAATCTACGCACTCTAGGGGAACTTACGCTGGAGCCGGCAGCTGCAGAAAGGTATGGTGTATCAAGGGGCTGTCGCTTGTGCTTAGTTCCGTATCCTGGAGTGGGTGGCATATTTGCAGCATTGCACGACCTTCGTGAATTAGCTGGTTGTACACTAAGAGCTTAGGACGCGGGCTGAGGCAAAGCCAGACGCAGGAAACACCAAACCCTACAGCCCGAACCTTTCGTACAGCTAACTCCAATCTGCGCCATGCTGCAACCATGCAGCGTGGCTTGTCAGACACACAAGATCGTACGCGCCTCCTCAAACGTTTATCAGAAGCACTTGTCTCCCCCTGTTGCCCCACCTTTAGCGTGACTCTAAAGGAGTTCAACGCGAACGGAAAAAGGAAAAAATGATGCATGTAAAATTGACTCACGAGACGTGCAGGATGTTGGATGCAGAGTGAACCAGCGCTAGTTGCCCCTTCAGTTCCGCACACCGGTAGCCCCCGCGATTTGCTGCACGTTGCTCTGGGGTTGCGTCCGGGGGCAGACGAGGAGGATCTTGCCAAACTGCCACATGGTCGATTAGACCTTGAACAACGCACTGTTGTAGGCATCTTTTAGCTTCAGCTGTGGGTACTGCCAGTCGCAAAGGCGCTTTCAAGGCTTGAAGATCGTCCGCGGGGGCCTCCTGCTGTGGTTCTGCAGCTTCCAGTGATTCCTGGCCTTGACGTGCCCGCTGCAGCAGAACACGCATTAGCTGGGCCAGCTGAGCTGCTAGTGCCCCGACCTCTGCAAACCTCGACGGGTCCAGACCGTATGACTTGCAAAAGCCAACGGGACTTCTCGCATGGCTATAAGCTCCACACAACCAGACATAGGCGTCTATGTCGCTGTCTTGTTCCTCCCAAGGCCTCCGAGGAGGGCGCATGCGGTTCCCTGCTGCGTCTCCCTCTCCAATGTCTCCAATGCGGCTTTGTGGCGGTAAAGAGGGCAGCAGCTCGCCCACAGAGAGAGCCGCAACGAGGTAGCAAGCTACAGCCACAAACTCCGGCCCGTGTTCCTTGTGACTGCAAGACAACTCACACGAACAGTCCATTCGTGTTTGCAAAAGATCAAGTGCAAATGTATGAACATGATACAATGGCTAACATACAGGTGAGCATTCGTCTAGAACCAGAGCGGCATGTTGAGCACGCCCTTGTGAGAACGGACGCAAAAACGCACATGAGCATCTAGACAAGTCCTTTAGGATAAGCATGCACACAGTCGCGTCATGGAAGTGTACACACTCGAAACCGAACGGGAATGCAGAGATGCACATACACATAATACACACACACGTCTAAGTATGTACGTGTATATATTGTGGATATGTGTGCACCTGCAAATTTACATTCTTACAAACATGCGTAAGCACTCACAAATGCACACAAACAAAAACGCATAGGCACAAGAAGGAATGCACGTACTCCTAAATCTTATGTTGCTATGCAACAAAACATGGTTTTCGAAACGTCGTTTCACGGAATCTGTAGGCAACCAAAGATTAAGCCTTCGAATACAAGGACGACCCACGATAAAGGGAAAGGTGCAAGAAAAAGGGAATGAAAAAGAAAAGGACGTGGACAAGTTACCGAGAGCAAGCCAAAAGAAGGATCTTGGCAAAGCGTGGTGGTATCGGCAGTTCACTCATGCGGCGGCCGAGAGCCGTGCAGCAGACTTCAGGCTCGCGCATGCTCTTTTGGTGATGCTTCTGCTTCTGTTCAGATCCCTTAGGCTGCAGTGCGCCGAGGGCTACCAGGCGGCGTCGCGCACTCTCAAGAGCAGCCGCTGCGGGTGGAGAAGGAAACGGGAAAGCTGAGGGCCGTGGAATGCCTGAACAAGTCACACCACAAACCCTTAACATGATGAGCTGTTAATGAACAGCAACAGTCCCAGGAGAATAGCTGAAAACTTGAAAAGATAGAGGACGCAATGGAGGACCTACCCAGTGCGGCCATGAACAACAGGAGGTGATCAAGGGGCACCGTGTGGATTTGCGGAGGTGGATAACGCTCCATTTCGTGCTCGTATACGGCCGATGAATACAGCCTATAACACACGCCAGCGCCTACACGGCCAGCCCGACCCGCCCGTTGCTGCGCTGCGGCCTGAGAGGTCAGGGTAACGGTGAAGTACGAAAAACACTCTGACCCTGTGGCGAACACTCTTCTTTTCTCTCTCCCCGAGTCAACAACGTAGCTGCACACAATGCAAATACATTCCACAGCAGCGTGTGGAGGCAGAGTTCAAATTTGCGTGAAGTTTGTTTCCGCTGTAAAGGCACATCTGGCGCATAGACTCCAGCAGGAGCTAACGATTAATTAAAAAACAATACGCAAAATCGCCTAACGCATTCGGTTTTGATTCAGGTCGTCCTAAATACTCAGTCCCTAAAAGAGCTCACCGCACGTTTGGCAAAGTTAAAGACGTCTCTGCCACATTTGTAGCGACGATGATGCGCCGTTCGTCCGGTGATGGGGGCTCGAACGCAAGGCGCTGCAGCTCCCCAGGCAAGGTGGCGTAGAGTGGAATGGCAGTGAGCCTAGGCACGATAACTGTCTCTTCTTGCGAGCTAGTTGGAGGTTCCTGAACACTTTCTTCTTTTCCTGGAAGAGCGCCAGAGGTGCTTCCATCCTGGCTTTTCTCGTTATCTGCAGGTTTCTTCCGCACCTGCACACCTGCGCCCAGCCAGCCTCCGGCAGAGAGAGTTTTGCGAACTCGACGCTTTGAAGTGTCCGGCGAGTCAAATGTTTCAATTCCAGCCTCAGCTGCCCCCTGAGGGGGCCGTGGTGACTTCGCGGGAGTCTCTGGCACCGCCAGAGAGACGTTTATTGCCTCTTCTGGATATTTAGAAGGCTCGCTGACTTTCCTACGTTTTCCTTTACCCTCTTTGGACACCGTGCCCTCAGTCCTAGTTGCCTGTAGAACGTTCGAAGCCCCGTGAGACTTTGATGAACTATCCCCATGAGGGCTCATTGTCTCACAGGGGGCCACCTGTGTCTCATTTGCAGATGAAGAAAGGTGCGGGGTAGATAAAACTGCTCTCAAGACCTCCTCTTCGGCCTCCTTGATTTCGCTGTGGGGCCCATCACTTTCTTCTGCATCGCTAGCAAGAGAAAGCTGCAGAAGATGGTTTGGCAGCTTCAGTTTTGGGCGGCGTCTTTGGCTGCTCCGAGAGCTGAAGCTGTCATCGGAGTGCACAGACACTTCGCTGTCATAATCTGGTGATTTCTCTTCCTCGAGAGGCAATGGTTCGTCTTCGCTTTGGTCTGACAACAGGAAGTCCGACTCAGGCGCTACCACACCACTATCATCTTCACCGTCACCTTCAGTAGCAGCAGCCGCAGTAAAAGCAGCAGAGGCCTGAAAACGCTTATATCTCCGTTTCTGCCATTCTTGCAGCTGACGCACCGCCTCCAGGACTTCCGCTCTCCCCGTCAAGAAAACAAGAACAGAGCCTGCAGGGAGCCGGCTGCACACACTCCACACAACTTGAAAAGACCGAATCCCTCAGTCGAGATGGAATACCGCGTTTCTGCTCCGGCCTTTTCGGACACCAAGGAAAGCGCAATGTATTAGCGTACATGCGCCCAAAATGCCGGCCAGAATGTTCTATGAACCATATTCAGGGAAGGCATTAGTTTAACAGGTAACTGGCGAACGCATGAAGCAACGCGAGCAGCTCCCACAAAAAGCAGAAAGCAAACTTCAGGTGAATCCCTGGGGCAGCTGCAGATTTCGATCGCAATTCTTTCGCAGGAAAGAAGAACTGGGCTTACGTGTGTATTTGCAGAGCCTTTTTAACTGCAGCGTCGACGTAGTGGTCAGGTGTCTTTTTGCTGAAGTGCACGCGGACCTCGAACGTTCGGCTCTCGAGGTGCAAAAGTGCCGGAGGCGGTGTAAACAAATGGGAATTTTCAGTGAAATCCGTAGCTTTCAAAGTAGCAGACATCACCAGCACCCTGCAACCCAACAGGAAGAACCTCGGAAGCAGGGAGACTCCACCAGCAATCCGAATCCATGGACTTGTAAAGAATAAAAGAAAAGCTAATCACGGGAGTAGAAACGGCTTGGAAACGAGCAACAATGCGGACAAACGGATGTGCTCTCGGGATATGAAGGAGTAGAGGTAGCAAAGACTCAAACGATCAAATGCAGTCTTTTTGCCGCACGGTTTTTATTTTTAAGGTGTTTGTGCGCGAGCTGACTTGAGTGGCGGCAAGGTGTCTTTGCCTCTTTCAAACCTTTCCCTTCTCATCACAACAACTCGGGAGACAAGCCCTAGTAACAAGTCCACATTGATGCTCCTCTCGTGGGCTTCGTCCACGATGATGCAACAGTACTTCCTGTAAACCCAAAAGCAGCATCAGCAGCAATAAAACTACAAAAACCACACAAGACTACCAGTGCCTAGGTAGTTTGAGGCTTAAGAGACAAGAACTGCATACGCCAGCTAGCAGCCGCGCCATCAGGACCAACGGCATGCTCAAAGGAAGCCCCCCTCTCTCTGAAAACCACCAGGGCCTCCTCACTAAGCTGATTGCCCGCCAGAAACCCTGCCCTCAAGAATGTAAGGAACGGAGAAGCTAGAAGAGGCGCCTTTGGCGCAGGGGCACTTTTAGGAGCCGCAGGTTATGCACAACCCCGCAGATTATTATTAACAGGAGTGGACAAGATGCCACTGCGGGGCATTCCAGCAGAATCTGCCGCACTTCACTTTACCTCAGGAGGAAGTCATCCTGTATTTCTCTCAAGAGAATCCCGTCAGTTGCAAACTTGAGACGGCAGTGGGGGCCAACATTGTGTCTGTCATGGCGCACCTGAAGAAGCAACAGAACTTGCAGAAAATAAGGTAAATAAACACAAAAAAGAATGTCATGCGCTACTTCGGGGAGCTCCATACATAGATTCCTTTGCCGACATTTCAGGGGAAGAAGTCGTACAATAAACTCACGATCAATCACCAGTTTTGAAATAAGGCTCTGGGTTAAGCATGCAAATGTAGGGACAGACACTGAAGGGGCTTGCAAGGGGGCAGAAACGCATGGCGAGATAACTTGCACATTGAAGATTATGAAACGCAAAGACAACCTCGTCGAGGCTCAAATACGTAAAAGCAGGCATATAAAAATGAACACTGACCAAGATACTGCCTCAGGACGCACCTGATAGCCTACGAGCTCGGGAGAGCCCATCTCCTCAGCAACTCTTCGGGCCAAGGACACAGCAGCAACCCTGCGTGGCTGCGTGATGCAGATGGACATTTGTCTTTTTACAACAATGCCCTCCTTTGTCGCCTCTACTGAGAGCGACCCAGGCTTGGCAGCCGCTGCTGCCGTTGCAGCTGACACTGGTGCGTCCTCTGCAACACCTTCATTCTCGCTGCCAGCAACAACAGCAGCAGCTGCATTGGCAGCCGAAGCAGGAGCGACAGCAGAATCTGCCGCGCTCGCCTGTTCCTCCAGCAGCTGGAGAGCCGCTTCGCACTTCTTTGAAAAGTGCATTTGAGGGTAGCAAATTCCCGACTCAAATACGAATTGAGGGATCTGAACAAACGACGAGACAAGCAACAGGCACGCAAACGAGCATGATGAGAATTGAATAGACGAAAGCTGCTCAAATGAAGCAAAAATAGTATACAGGCTCTAGCATCCGGCCTTAACGCGTGTGCTCCCCTGAGAGCCACAAAGTAGCTGCGTGGACGCCCACAGCTGACCTGCAGGAAGGCGTATTTAGGGCACTCCATAATCACAAGAACGAAAATAGTCTACTAAGCTCCTTAAACCCACACAGGGGCCCCTTTTGGGGCCACCACGGGAGCCCAGGAAAAGCCTGTGCTTTGGGGGGCTCACTTGTGTGCTTTTGCCCGAGCCCGTTGCGCCCGAGATGCAGAGAATGTCTGCGTGGCGCCTGCCAGCGAGGTCCAACATCTTTTTTCTTTTTCTTTTTCTAGAAGCCCCACCAGCTGCTGCGGGGGACCCCGTTTGCGCTGCGCGAGCCTCCTCGTCGGAGCTGCTGCTGCACTCCTCAGCCTCCTGCATCAAGGGGTGTTCCTGCTGCAGCAGGAAAGACAGCACGCGCCCCTCAGCCTCAGCAGCAGGCAACGCAGCTCTTGACTGTTCAAATTCAGGGGAGCGGCGAAGACAGGCTGCTGCTGCCTCCGGAGAATAGGAAATTCTCGGAAGACGATTACGATTACCCCGGCAAGCAGCACCTGCTGCAGCTTTCGCTGCAGCTGCGCGCTTGGTTTGGAGAGAGGCCGCCATACGCTCAGCGCTCTGGCCGCTGCTGCTGCTGCTGCTGCTGCTGGCGGTAGTGGACGCCGTGTCGTTTTCTAGCTCATTGCTCAAACCGCCATCTACCAGCTGCTCAGCCCCAATGCCAGTCTTTTGCTGCTGCTGTTGCTGCTTCTTCTCCTGTTGCTGCTGCTGCTCAACCGGCCCTTGGGAACTCTCGCCCCCTCGTTCTTTGGCCTCACTGTGAGCAGAAGAAACTTCTTTGTGCTGCTGCTTCTCTTGCCGCTTTTCTCTATCTTCTTGCTTGATCTTCGTTTCTCCCGTGCCGTCAGAACTTTGTTTCGGCGCCTCCTTTTGCTGCTTCTGCTGCTGCTGTGTAAGCTGGCGCTGCTGCTGCAGCTGCTGCTGCCTCCGCTGCACCTCTTGCTGCAGCATCAGCGCCTTGCGGGCCTTCTTCTGCAGCCGGCGACCCTTGACTCCTGTCAGCAGCGAGCCTCGACCTAGCAGCAGCATTGTCTTGGCTAGCTGCGTCTTTTCACTGTCAGCAGCTGCTGCTGTGGCCTCCGCTGCAGCAATATCGCCCGCTGCGCCTGCTGCCTTTGCTGCAGCATCAGTTCCTGCTGCAACGCCGCCCTCCTGCTGCTCCAGCACTGCAGCAGCAAACAGCGGACAGGAGCAAAACAAGTAGGAGTTCCTAATATAATTGCGTTTTCAACCTCCTGAAGGAGTAGTTTACAATACAGTGCAAATGCCCAACTTCAAACATATAATTCTTCTAGAAGCAGAATCGGAAGTTGCTGCTCTTCTCCAGAGACACTCTTGCCAGCAGCAGCACTACTTTGTTACTGCTGCTGCAGTTTCATTTCATGCGTGACTGACCTGTTCTCATATCATACTTCTGTAGCTCCTCGTGCAGCGCAGCCCTGACATCCCTTTCCTTATGTTTTTTCTGCAGCAGCAGCAGCAGCACCGTTGCAGCAGCATCAACAGCAGGTCGCAGCAGCACGCGAGCAGCAGCAATAGCAAACCACAAAGGCTGGCGCGTCACTCGGCCATGCTGCCCTTCAAAGTGCAGCAGACGCACCAGCAGCTGCTTCAGCTTCCTCTGCTTCCTGTTGCTGCCTTTCTTTGTGTCTTTCTGCGCCTCCTCATTTTGATTCCCGAGACTTCCAGATTTCTTTTCCTTGCGCTTTCGGGGCATCAGCAGCATCTGGTTGCTGCCTTCCCCTGCATCCTAATGGGGCAGCAGCAGCAGCAAAACCAGCAGCAGCAAGAGCAGCGGCCGCATGAGCGGCAACAACAACGCAAACAGCACCACGGGAAGGTTCTCTGCTGCCAACAGCAACAGCTGCGGACTGCGAAGTCACCCAGTGGCAGCAAGCACAAGAACAGCAGCAACTCGAAGCAGCAAACATAAGGCACAGCAGAGAGCAGCAGCAGCTGCAAATGATGCGACAGCGGCAACAGCCACAGCACAGGCTGCAGCAGCAGCTGCAGCTCATGCTTACCTGAGGGCCATCATCTCGCAACAAAGACACGTCGAGCAGCTGTGCGGGGGCCTTCGACTTCACCTCCATTTTAGTAGTCCATTGACCGCCTTCTCCATCTACTTTTTGTTCTTCTTTCTAAAAGGGTAATTAACTAGTGGCAGGATTCGGTGCCTGACTATTTTCCAGGTGTATTCTGCTGGGGCATAGGGCCATGGGATTAGGCTCGAAAGAGAGTTCTCCCACTATTCACTGCTAGAGGCGCCTTGGAAAACTTTTCAGGTAAATTACTGTCATTGAAAAGATGTGAAAAAATCTAAAACGCACAAACAAGAGGCAAAGCGGGGCAAAAAGCCAAGGCAAGTGGGCGCAGTAGAGAAAGGAGCAGTTTTCCTGCTTCTTTCCCTTTTAACAGCCATCGACATACCTTGTGCCCAAGCCTTCCGTGCTGCTGCCCATTATAAGGTCTAACTTTCAGTGTTTAAAATGCAACACAAATGGTGCTTGGAGGCCCAAGGCCCTGTAGCCCGGGGGGCCCCTCAGGGGCCTCCGCTGTGTGGGGCTCCGAAAATGCTGCAGCTGCTGCAGCGAAAGCACCAACAGTGCCATCGCAGGTCAATTCATAGAGTTCAGGTTGAGGAGATCTGACCGGAAGGTCGAAGGCAGGTGTCTGAGGTGTCTAGAAAATTTGCCCTCTGGCAGTGCTGCAGCTGGTGTTGGCGTTCTTGCCGCTCCTGCTGTTGCTGCTGCTGCTGCTTTGCTGGTTCCTCCAGTGTTGCAATCCTGGGTGGCTCTGCACTTCGCTGCTTTTGCTGCAAAACAATTTTCCTTCACAGTTTTCCCCACCTATTGTATAATCTTCTCGCTAAAGATTTCCGTGGGGCTCTCTCTACCTCTCGTGTCCTCTTCTTGGTGGCTGTCTGCGTTCTCTGTAACTTTCCTGCGATCTCCGCGGTTTTCAATGCAGACAGCACAAAACGACCTATTTTTTCAACTCATTTCTCCCTTGAGATCCATTTGATTGTCTAGCGGCCATGAGTTCTCCGGTTTTTGCCGCGTTACTGGGCAGTCTCGCCACAGGTGACCTCCCCCGTCTTGAGGCGTTCAGTTGGGACTGCCTGCTTGTGCTGCCTTTCTTTTGTTTGGCGCACTTGGGCATCTGGATGCTGCTGCAGCTGGTGCGCCGGCCGGCGCTGCAGCGGCATTTCCCGCTGCTGCAGCAAGGGGTTTGGCCGCGCCACGGCGCCAACAGGCTCTGCTGCATTCTGCACAGCGCGGTCGCCTTCCTCTGGGGCTTCGCTGTTCTATATAGAGAGGGGGCGTTTGGCCGGGCCCTGGGGGCCCTGGGGGCCCCAGCAGTCCCGGGAGCCCTGCCGTACTTCGGGAGCTCCATTTCTGCGCTGCAGCGACCGCTGCTGCTGTATTCCTTGTCCTTTTTCGTGTACGACTTAGTGTACGTCTTCATAGAACGCGACGTAGCCACTACTTTGCACCACCTGGGTGCTGTTGCTGCTTTCATCACCAGCTTCTCCCGCAGCGTGGCCTCAGCTGATATAGTTGCAGGTCTCACAGTGGGGGAGTGCAGCACGCCTCTCCTCCACCTGCGTTACTTCGCAAGGCACTACTGCACGCTGGCAGCAGAGGCCAAGCAGAGAGCCCCCCAGAAGGACTTCGAGTCTGCGGGGGAGTCCCCAGCATCGAAGGGGGCCCCCAGCGGGGAGGAAACTGAAGATAGCCCGGAGGGGCAGACTCCTGCAGCCACTCCCGCGGCAGGTTCTTCGGCCGCGGCGCCCATGGGCCCCCCTGAGGCCGCCTCGAGGGGCCCCCCGGGGGGCCCCACAGCCTGTGTGCAGGTGCCGCCAGGCATCTGGGGCCTCTCGTTTGTCCTGCTGAATAGAGCAGCAGAGCTGCTGTTTGTGTTCACCTTCATTACAGCCCGCGCACTTGTGGCCCCCGCTGTGACTGCAGCAACTTGTGTGTCTGCGCGCACGCCGCTGCTTGTGAAGGCGATGGCGCTCACGGTTTGCTTCATTAGCTTCTACTGGATCGGCCAAATCTTTTTTCTGGTTTACTACAGAGGATCTGCAGGCCGACAGAGACGCAAGAAGACGGTCTAGGCCGCCAGCTGCTGCTTCCGCTTCTGCTGCTCCCGCCGAGGCGCAGCGCAGCAGGGCCTCAGAAGCAGAAGCATCTGCTGCAGCAGCAGGGCTGGTGAGACAGCTCTAGTCCTATTTGCCTCCTGCAGGAAAGGCAGCCGTTTGAAGCGCAGCAGCACGCCGATAAACAGCAGCAGCAGCAGCAGCAGTACCAACTGCAGCAAACAATTTGTTACTAGGTCTTTTACTTCGACTAATGTCGACGAGGTGCCTAGCAGCCTAGTGGCCGCGTGCTTGGGAGCAGCAGTCGCTGCAGTTCTCCGCAGCTCTCTGCAGCAGCAGCGGCACAAACGTAAGCAGCAACAGCAGCAGCAGAAGCTGCACACCCCGCTGTCTTGTGGCTACTGCTGAGATGGCTCGCAGGCGAGATCCCGGGGGGTTCCCCTTGCGCATCTCGGGGGCCCCTTATACGGAAAGGCCTATATTGCTTATCCGTGACTCTTTATAAGACCATACATATATGGCTGCTAGTCTTGTAGCCTTAGCAGTACAGGGATCACTGAGACCCTAGGGAATGGCGTATAAGGGCTAGAGCCAACCACGCTAGGACTTTTTCTGGCTCTCCCCCTTCGCGTGGAGATTGAATGCAAATGGTTAAAAGCCACGAACTGCTTTCTTTCTTATGCTTACTGTTTGGCCGATTCAACTGCGGCCCGCAAATGCACGCAGACGGAGAAACAGAATACACTGCAAGGCACAACAGGGGGAATGAGAACAGCAGAACGAAGCCAGGAGAGGCACATACAGGAAACCCCTGCAGAGCTAGCTGGCTGGAGAAGCTCAGAAAGCGGTACAAGTTGCAGACAAGTCCACAGGAGCAACTGCGCGCTGTGTTGCGCATTTAAAGTTTGCAGCAGGACACCGTGGGCTCCTTGGCTGAAGATGGTTGGAAGTGGGCATAAAGTGGTTGAGGAGCTAGCCAGTGCTGCTCTGCAATAGCTTGTAGCCGTAGTTCAGAAAGGCTGTACTACGCCAGAGGAGAAGTATCTGCCAGTAGCTGTGGAGAACTGTAGCTAGCTGCTGCTCACATTCTGCAAGGATTCACATTGGGTAAACTGCATATCCAGGGAATATTTATATTCAGCAGTATTCATTGCCTCTCTGGAACGCCTTTGCCATCATTCTCCAGTGGACAATATGCAGGGGATCGGCTGGCCCGATGAAAATTGACGGAATAAACTAAAGAACTGTGTGAGCCTACGGGCTGCGGTAAACAGACGCATGGGCTCCCTGTACACAGATCTGATTTGGTGCGGATAGGAAAATGGGACCTCAGCGAGCTGATATTTCTTTAACCGCCAGGCTAAGGCAGAGGATCCAAAATGGCGGAGCTGCCGGTTCTTGATTCATTATTTGGGCGCCTTCCTAGCCACTGAAATACCAGGAAAGTGACTCTTCTCTAGCCAAAGACTGCATGAAACTCGTCTTATTTTTAATAAATACCGTTAAAAGGACAAAAGTGTCTGCGCATCTGCAGTGTGCAATGGGAAGCGGGCAAGTCTGCTGCGTATGGCGTTTCGCCGTGAGTGCTCCTGTCTGCTCTTTTGCTCTACCTGGCATTTAGTCCACCATATTTCCAGGTCGGAAGGTTTTAAGTTGAAGTAAATGGTGTTTATTATATTTACGCCCCTTTTTCGCCTTCAACACTCAGTTCAAGGGGAAAGTGACCTCCCCCGCTCCGTGCTGCTCGTGATGGCTGTCTGGTGAGTGGCGAACCTGCAGCTGCCGCGGCTGCAAAGCAGAAGTCTCGGGGGCATTGGTGGCCTCTTTGAGTTTCCACGGCACCATTAAATTGAAAAATTAACTCTTATGAACTTAACGTATACGTTTACCACCATAGAGTCTGCGACCTCCTCGACAGTCGGCGGTGTCCACTGGTGGTGTCTGGGCGGGAGGGGCCAGAGCCCTTTTCGTTCGCCTCTCGTGTTCCTTATGCTCCTTTCTTGCATTGAAAGCAAATCAAGACAAAACATGACCGTTTAGCTCCCAAGGGACCAAATCTTTAGCAATGAGCGCTTGAGATTTCCCCAGGACGCCACTAGACTGCCGCGTGGTCCTGTCGCTGGGCTTTGTTTGCCTGTCTGCTTCACAGCCGAACCTCAAGGGGGCCTCCCCGCAAATCAAACCTTCGCTAATGCGAATGCATTATTTTTTGCCCCCGGGGCGACGTCTAGGGGTCCTCGTGGCTGCATTTTTGGGGCGCCCAGTCGCTTCGTGCGTTGGCCTTGGGCGCTGCAAGGCAGCTGGCTAGGAGCCGCCGTCGCCGCCCTTCTTGCACACACCGCAATGCCCACTGCCTTTGGCTAACTAACAAAGCCCAGCAAGCGAAGAAGACATGTCCTGACGGGCGAAATGGAGGTACCCTCGTCTGCAGCGGCACCCTCCACAGGGGGGCTCCAGGGGCGCACGGCTGGCCCGCAACAGTCCGCAGGGGGGACTCGAGAGCCTCAGAGGCACTCCTACGGCACATGGGGGCTGCAAGAAGCCTCTACACAAGTAGCTTCCAACTTAGGAGGCCAGGTGACCTTACAGCAGGCGCTGGGGGACTCGTCAGCCGCCGCTGCAAGGCCTCCCCTAGGCGCCCCCGATGAGGAGCCGCCGCAGCAGAGGGCTACTGCTGCTGCAGCGGCTGCAGCAGCTGTGTCGCTGTACACTCCGGCTGAGCTGGAGAAGCTGAAGCACTACGATGAGGAGCTGTTTGCTGCTCTAGAAGTGTCGCGCTGCTGCTGCTGGTCCGCGCCTATCGCCTCTTTTGCTGCCAAATATGCAGCGCAGCAGTCAGACCTCACGACAAAGCGCGTAGAAAAGTATCTTCAGAGACGGACTCACATTTACAGACATGTGGACGATCTGCTGCTGGGGCTGGGAGGCCTCCTCGACCCAGAGGAGGCAGCAGCCGCTGCAGCATCTGGTGCAGCAGCAGCTGCAACAGCAGAGGCAGCTTCTGCAGACGGAGCATCTCCCGATAGTCCAGGCAAGGCAGAGGACGGGGAGCACCACCCGCAACAGCCGCACGCTGCCACTAACAGCAGCAGCAACAGCAACAGCAGCAGGAGCAGCAGCGAGAGTCAGCGGCGAGCCCTGAAATGGACTACGAAGAAGCTCCGGTGGATTTGCGACGACGAGCTGCAGAGGCATCCTCTCTTGCTGGAGGGCCCCGTAGCTCTGAAGTGCTGCGTCTTTGGGGAAGCCATAGAAGCTGCTGTCCGCCAGGGCCTGGTGAGCTGCCTGTTCGAGACCCTCAGCTCTGAGGGGCTAGCCCTAGTCAGTTTCATTAGTTGTGGCTGCTACTGCTTTTCTGTGTGAGTTTCCTTTCAGAGGGAAAAACGTTTCTTCTGGGAAGCGCCTGAGGAGCCGCCGCCACTACTTTCTCCAGATACCGCGGCCACCAGCAGCAGCGGCAGCAGCAGCAGCAGCAGCAGCAGCAGCAAGGACAACAGAAGCAGAAATGAGGCCTTGAGGCGTGCAAGACGCGAGCAGATCTTGGTAGAGATATTTACTGCTAATGGAGGCAGCAAGTCGTTTTTGAAGCAGCTCCTGCAGCGGCTAGACGAACTGCCCGACCTACATTTGCCATTTAGGGCCCCCAAGTCTTTTGAGGGGCCCCTAAAGTCGACCTCAGAGTCGACGCCAGCAGCCCCTGGCCAGCAGGTGCTGCCCTGCAGCAGCAGCAGCAGCAGCAGCAGCGGTGGCGCCAGCGCAGCGCCGCCCCAGAGTCAACAGCAGCAGCCAAGCAGCAGCCAGCAACTGCAAGGCGAAGCCCAAAGTGAGAGACAGGCAGCCCCGAGACTTCTTACAAATGGGAATGCCCAGGGGCAGCAGCTAAATCTTGGCAGCCCCCAATCACAAGACCCCTTGAATTCTGCTGCGGCCTTCTCTAGGCCCATCAGGCAGACGCTGGGTACTGAAGTATCTGCAGCAGAAGCAGCAGCTCCAGGGGCCTCGAGTACACGCAGCAACGCGCCTCCAGCAGCAGCAGCTGCTGCTGCTGCCGTTGCGGCTGGTGACACTTGCAGTAGAACAGCAGGGGCAGCTCGCGAAGGGAATCCACTTGAAATGACGGGAGACCAGCAGAACGGGTTTAGGTGCTCCCGCTCGATGCTTCGCCTTCTGCTGCACGTGGGGCAGCAGCACTTGCTGCAGCACCGGGTCTGCCTGAGGTCACCCACTGCAAGAAAGGCTGTTTCTGCTGCTGCTGCTTCCGCTGCTACAGCTGCTGCGGATGCGTCCTACGAGGCACAGGAAGGAAACGAACGGCCTGTTAATTCACAAGGGGAAAGTGCGTGCAGCAGCAGCAGCAGCAGCACCAGGAACAGCAGCAACAAAGCTCCAAACGATGGCTGCCCATCTTCCGCTACCACGGAGAGTGGCTTGACCCGTAAAAGAGAAAGAAGCGCATCGACGTCTCAGCATGCAGCCGGTGTTGTTGAAGCAGCAGCAGACGGCGGAGTTGCTGCTGCCCAAGCTGCCGCCACAGTTATGCCGTCTTCATCAGAAGCTGCAGCAAACAGTCACACTTATTCCTCTCAGGAGAGCCGACACGCAAGTAAAGCTGGATCACCGCCTCTGGTGTCTCTTGCTGTAGCGCCGGCAGCCGCGGCTGCTGCTGCTGCTGCAAGTGCTTGTACAGATGACAACAGCAGGCCTTCGAGTCCGCGCCAAGATCGACGCAACAAAGCGACAGCTCCTGCTGCTGCAGCTGTCACAGCGAAGAAGCGCAAAACTGGCCTGCCCAGCCCCACAGTTCGTGGCTTACTAGCAGCAGCAAAAGATGGAGCACCACCAGCAGCAGCAGCTGCTGGTCCTGCTCTGCCGGGGCTGGCACCGTGGAGCCCTCGCGACCACCGTTTTGTTAGCGAAGGGACAGGACGAACCGCTTGTTTGCTGCTGCAGCGGATCGCCATGAGACTTCTGTTCGCTGCAGCTCTGTGCAGCAGCCAATACAGCCTCCCGGTGCAGCAGCTGCAGCGATTTGTAGCGGCGCTTGCTGCTGCCCTGAAGCCCTGCCTGGAAGCTATCAGAGAAGCTGGCGAGCGAGTGCACCTGCCGCAGCAGCAGCAGCACCACCACCACCACCATCACAAGCAGCAGCACCAAGAACAGAACTCTTGCTGCAGTGGGGTGCCTAACTTAGAGGGGACCCTTTTGGACTATGTTGCTATACCGCTCTGCTACGGACTTGCTGTTGTTGCTGGCCGCCCTTGGATGGGCAAGCTGCAGCAGAATGCAGCAGCAGAACTCTACGCGCTGCTGTTGGCTGCGGATGCTGCAGTGCATGCACACCGTCCGCTGCAGCAGCTAGTAGAGGCACTCAGCAGCAGCGGTCGCAGCAGCAGCAAACTGCTCCAACTGCAGCAAGCGAAACAGCAGCTGCAGCAGGACGCGGCGCTGGAAGAGCAGCAAAGTGGCCAGCCAGGTAAGCAGCAGGTCCCTCAGAAGCTCACGGCCGTCACCCAAAGCCTGGTAAAGCCTTAAGGTGTCATTTTTGCTTTCTTTAGATCCTTCGGCCTTACAAGCCGCTCGTTGGCATGCGAAAATGCTGCAGCAGGAGCAGCTGCTGCTGCTGTTTTTGCTGCCTTTGCTGCTACGCCTGCAGGCTTTTTCCCCTATCCCCCCATCCACCCGTCGCTGCGAGTTGTGGAGACGCCCCACCCGTACTCACGGCTGCACGCAGCAGGAGCTGAGGAGGCAGCAGCAGCGTGGGCCAGCAGCAAGGGCGTCAAGCTATCGCAGCAGCAGCAGCAGCAGCAGCACTTCTTCTACGCACACGAGGTTTCCTTCCCTGCTGCGTCGCACATAGTCCTCCTCTTTGACCCGAAGTCCGAGACCGAAGGCTCTCAAGATGTTCTCACAGTTCGTTCAGCTGCACGGCATCTCTCTTGTCCCTTTACGCGTGTTTCTATTATTTGTTGCGGCTGCTGCTGCTTCTGTTCCTGTTGCTGCTGCTTCTGCCGCTGCTGCTGCTGCTGATTCCACTCTCCTGGGCTGTAGCACTGCATGGTGAAGTCGTGAACGTGTTTTAGAGGGTCTTTAAAAGTGGCTTTTACTGTTTTTGCCCCTTTAGGTGGATTTGGCTTCCTTAGCGTATGGCTTTCGCATTTTTCTGAGCTTCTACGTCTCTTGCTGCCCCCTTTGCCTCCCATTGTCTTTTCATCATCTCCTTTTGTTGCTTTCGCTGCTGCTGCAGTTGCTGCTGATTCTATTGCTGCAGTGGCTGCTGCAACTGAGCACTGCAGTGGCTGGCGGCGGCCACTGCAGTGGCTGCCTCTGCGCCTTCCCCGTGCTTGGGGTCTTCGGGTTGCCCTTTTGCTCCTGCTGCTGCTGCTGCGGCCAGTCTTTGCTGCTGGCGTCTCTGTGTGCCTCTGCAGGTTTACCGGGGCCTTTGGAGCTGCGCGCCGTCAGAGGCTCCCCCAGATTGTTTGGTAGCTGGGCCCTTCAGTGGCTCCAACAAAGAAGAGCCAGAGGGCCCCCCAGCCAAAAGCACTGCTGCTGCGAGGGCCCCCTGGCCCCGCGAGGCCCTGGTGGTGGAGGCCCAGGCCCTGACTCTCTTCTTCACTGTCTGCGATAAGCCCAGTGCAGCTGCTGCTTCTAGTTTGAGGCCAAAGGGCTCTCTGTGGGGCTTCAGAGTCTACTGCTTAGGCCAGCAGTGGGCGATGCCGCCAGCAGCAGCGGCAGCTGCTGCTGCTGCCGCTGCTGAGCAGGAACAGCCCTGCAGCAGAAAACGAAGCTACACCGCTTTTTCCAAGGATGCCGAGGCTGCGCCAAGACCTGCACCAGCAACTACTACTCCCCACGAGTCGTTACTTGAGCCGCACAACAGCAGCAGCCGAAGCAGCAACAGCAACTGCAGCAGCAGCCAGCAGGAGGATCCTGAGAAGTCTTCGTGTGCCCCGTTGCTTTCTCAGCGGCAGCAGCAAGAGGGCCCCCACCTGCTGCTAGAATTCGTGTCGGCTTGTGCTGCTGGTGTTGCTGCAGCAACAGCAGCCCTGCTGAGGGCTCCGCCCCCTGCTGCACACGAGGCGCAGCTAGAAGCTGCATTCAGCTCTCTGCTGTTCGCCGGCGGCTACAAGAAGGAGAGGCCCTCCTGCGTGCGCAGGCTGCCCCGCCTCAAGGGGCCCCCCAGCACTCTTCATTTGCTGCAGCCCCAAGACAAGGGCCCCGACAGCTGCCACCGGGGCCCCAGCAGCAGCTCTCTAAGGGCCGAGGACACATGCAGTCTGGAGGATGAGACTTTGGAGTGCGGCGGAAATCGGCAGAGCCGGCAGCGGCTGCAGAGGCAGCAGCCGCAGCAGCGGCAACGGCAGCAGCAGCAGCAGCAGCTGGACTGGCAGCAGCAGCCAGGAAGTGAGATGCTCACCTCAGCTCCAGAAGCCCCCTTTGCCCCCTCTGCAGCTCACGCGTTGCTCCCTCGCGAGACCCCTTCCTCAGCTGTGCCAGCCGATCTGTCGGAGGGGCCCCTTCGGGGGCACCTCGAGGGGCCCCTACGGGGCGCCCCTGCACGGGGGCGCTCCTTGGGGCCCTCCAGAGGCCCCTCGGATTTCAACTCTGGCAGCTCCTTCGAGTCTTTACCCCGGCGGATCTCCCGAACCTCTCAAGCTAGACCTTCTAATGGCCCTCTGGACAACTGCCTGGGTGCCGCAGCTGCAGAGGCCTTTACCCTCACGCACCCAGGCCGCGGCAGCG